ATTGGTGGAAAAAGATGTTGAATTGACTGGAGAATTGTATTTGTTAAGTGCTGAAATACAAGATAGTCTAATTCCTCTACCTTTGCAAGAATTATTGGCAGAGTTTAAGAAGGTATTTGAGGAACCAAAAGGGATGCCTCCTAGGAGAAAACATGATCATGCAATTGTTTTGAAACAAGGAACACAATCAGTCAATTTAAGACCCTATAGATTTCCTTATCATCATAAAATTGAAGTGGAAAAGCAGATTGCTGAGATGTTATCCTCTTCTATCATACAAGTAAGTAAAAGTCCTTTTGCTTCTCCTTGCCTGCTTATTAAAAAGAAGGATGGAACTTGGAGATTCTTTGTAGACTATAGACAACTTAATTCTGCTACAGTTAAAAATAAATTTCCTATTCCTATAGTAGAGGACCTATTAGATGAGCTACATGGAGCTACTTTCTTTTCAAAGATTGATTTGAGATCTGGTTATTGGCAAATCAGGATTAAAGATGAGGATATTCCTAAAACTTCTTTTAGGACTCACCAAGGGCATTATGAATTTAAGGTTATGCCTTTTGGACTTACTAATGCTCCAGCTACTTTTCAAACTTTGATGAATGGTCTATTTGGAGCTTATTTAAGGAGGTTTGTTCTTGTATTTTTTGATGATATTCTGGTTTACAGTGCTAGTATGGCAGAACACAAACAACATTTGAGAATTGTGTTAGAGATTTTGTTGAAGAATCAGTTATATGCCAAAAAGAGTAAATGTTTTTTTGGGCAGCAACAAGTAGAGTATTTGGGGCATCTCATTTCAGTTAAAGGAGTGGCAACTGATCCTACTAAAATTAAAGCTATGCAACAATGGCCTCTTCCTAAGAACCTAAAAGCTTTGAGAGGATTTTTGGGTCTCACAGGGTACTATAGTAAATTTATAAAAGGGTATGGAGAATTGAGTAAACCCTTAACAAACATGTTGAAAAAAGAAGGATTTCATTGGTCTACTGAAGCTAAAATAGCTTTTGAGAAATTAAAGGTTGTTATGTGTGAAGCTCCAGTTTTGGCTTTGCCCAATTTTGAACAAAAAAATTTTTTAGAGACTGATGCTAGTTCAAAGGGAATTGGGATTGTCCTATCTCAGGCAGGCAGACCTATAGCTTACTTGAGTAAGGCTTTGGGCCCTAAACATGCAGATCTTTCTATTTACGAAAAGGAATATATGGTTATCCTAATGGCAGTATCACACTGGAGACATTATTTGGAGAGTGGGTCTTTTGTAATCAAAACAGATCATGAACCCTTAAAACATCTTCTAGAGCAGAAATTAACTACAGCTATACAGAAGAAGGGTCTTACAAAGTTACTTGGGCTTGATTATACCATTCAGTATAGGAAGGGTAAATCTAATAAGGTGGCAGATGCACTTTCTAGGCAGCAGATTGATTCTGGAGAATTTTTACAGCTGGGGGTCACAATTATCACTCCTACTTGGGTAAATGAAATTGAAGAAAGTTATGAAGCTGATGTCATAGCTCAAGAAAAAATTCCCATTCTGGTTCTTCAACCAGACAGTACAGGAGACTGGAAGTTAACTAAAGGAGTTTTATATTTTAAACACAGGATTTATGTTGGCAGCACAGGAGACCTTAGACGGAAGATAATTGTGGCTTTACATGATTCCCCACAAGGAGGACATTCAGGTATTCAAGCTACATATCAGAGAATTAAATCTTATTTTTTCTGGCCAAGAATGAAGATTATGACGCAAGAATATATTAAGCAGTGTGATATTTGTCAAAGGACTAAAATTGAGCATATTCCTAAACCTGGGCTATTACAGCCTATTCTAGTTCCAAATAATGCTTGGGAGGTGATAAAAATGGACTTTATTGAAGGGTTACCACCTTCAACAAAGTACAAGTGTATCCTGGTGGTAATTGACAAATTTACTAAATATGCTCATTTTTTGCCTTTATCTCATCCCTACACAATGGTGGAGGTTGCTAGAGTGTATCTTGATCAGGTTCATAAATTGCATGGTCCTCCTAAGGTTGCTATTTCTGACAGAGATACGTCTTTCACCAGTTTATTTTAGCAAGAGTTACTGAAGCAACTGGGGACAACTACTTATTTTAGTACTGCCTATCATCTAGAAACAGATGGTCAGACTGAAAGACTCAACCAGTGTTTGGAGCAATATCTAAGGAGTATGTGTTTTCTAAAGCCAAATTCTTGGTCAAAGTTGCTACCATAGGCTGAGTTGTGGTATAACACTAATTACCACACAGCTTTACAGATGACTCCATTTGAGGCATTATATGGATATAAACCTCCTAGTCTGAACTGGTCAGGTGAGTCACGGGTAGATGCAGTACAAAATATGATGCAACATAGGAATCAATTGAATATATTTCTACGAGACCAATTACTCAAAGCAAGCAATCGAATGAAGCAAATGGTGGACAAAAATCGCACTGACAGGGAATTTCAGGTAGGAGATGAGGTTTACCTGAAACTTCAACCGTATAGACAAACATCTCTGGCATTGAGGAAGAATCTCAAACTGACTGCTCGGTTTTTTGGTCCTTACAAGATACAGAAAAGAATAGGTCAAGTTGCATATAAACTTGAACTACCACCAGAGTCAAGGTTGCATCCGGTGTTTCATGTCAGTTTACTTAAGAAAAAAGTAGGGACACAGGGGTTTACCTCGATAAATCCTCTAGAGGTTATATCGGATGGCCAACTAAAAGTTTACCCAGCCATGGTTTTGAATCGACGAGTAGTGAAACGAAACAATCAGACAGTCCAACAGTTTCTTATCCAATGGACGAACATGGTTTCCTCCGATGCCACTTGGGAGGATGTAGCAGTACTGAAGAATCAGTTTCCCGATTTTGATCCTTGGGGACAAGGATCGTCTGATGGAGGGGGTATTGTTACGATGGAAGGTGGGTTAGGGTTTAAAGGTATTGATTTGGGGTAAATATAGAAGAGAGGGATTGGGGATGAATCAACAGAAAAGGGGGAGGATCGTACGAATTTAGGGATTGTAAGGAGGTTAGGGATTGAGAAATCATAGGAGGAATTGGGAATGAAATGAAGGCAGGCGGATGGAGTAAAATAGTTGGGCTTATCCAGACTTAACCCTTTTAATTCACATGTGGGCTTTTCGTTTGGGCTTGAGTCTGTTAAGATAATATCTGGACAGAGGTTGGGTTGGTGAGTCAGCACCTAAGCAGTTATTTTGTTAGACAGCTGGTACTTGTTAGATATATAATTATACCAGAAATATGTAAGGGATCTTATGAAAGAAGAATAAACGTTTTCTGTATCTATTGCTTTCCTTCTATTCTCTGAAATCTCTAAATTCTCTACCATTTTATCCTAAAAACATAACATTTAGCTCCCCCTAAAGTTGAAACTTTTTTATGGTAGATTTTCCACCAGAAGATTGCAGTAAAAGCTGCTTTAATTAGGCGGGGTTTTAGCGGAATCGAAGATCCTCTGTTCCCGTTTTGTGGTTTAGATGTCGAGTCGGTTAGCCATTTATTCTTATCTTACAGATTAGTTTGGGGGTGTGGATAAGACTCATGAGCATGTGGAATGTTTGTACAGCTTTGCCCAATACTCCAAATGAATTAATTGTTATGTGGGCTAATTTAGTTCCGAATTCTGAGTTTTGGACATTTATTCCAGGAGCAATTATGTGGTATGTTTGGTTATGTAGGAATAAATTGATTTTTGAAAATGGAAGGTTGGATCTAACCTATCTGTGCTTTCTGGTTAGATATAGAGTGGCTGCTTGGTTCTTGGCGAAGAAGTCTGGGTTTCTAGTTCCTCTTAACCTGCTTGTAGGTGACCTTACTCTGGTAGAAGTGCATAAGGCCACATTGAGGAAAATTTCGCCATTGACAGGATGGTGTCCTCCCCCTTTGGGCTGGCTTAAAGTTAATTTCGATGGGGCAGTAAACAATGATTGGAGGTGCAGTGGTATCAGCGGTTTACTTAAGGATACAGAAGGCAAGAAGCTGATGTATTTCTCAGTTGCGTCAGGACCTGGTCCGCCGATTCTAGCAAAACTCAAAGCTATTCAAGCATGGTTGAATTTTTTTTAGATTCAAAGTGGAAAGATAAGGGTCGTCTGATCTTGGAGACTAATTCTTTGGTTGATGTTAATTGGATTAAAAACCCACAGTTCTGTCCAGCTGTATTTAGCAATCTGGTTAAAGATTTAGCGAATAGGTTGTTTGTTTCAAATGTCCTGCTAAGGTTTGTGAAGAGAAGCAGTAATTGGGAAGCTGATGCTTTAGTCAAGGAGGGAATAGGGTAAAGGTTGCAATGTTTGTGGTCTGTTTTAGAATTTTTTTTTGGAGTGTCAGTTTTATTACCTATAGAAAGGTGTAGGTATATGAGAAAGGTTGTAATATACGGGGTTGTACCTAGGATGTAATCTATGTTTCTATTAATAAAATTTGGGCACTCTTTTCCTCCTTCAAATGCCGTTAAAATACCTTGTAGCTTAACGGTTATGAAAGGGGTTTTAACGAGGCCTCTTTCTTATAAAAAAAATGATAACTTCACAAGGCAAATTCATATGGTTTGTTGAAAGGTACGTGAGATAGTTAGGAAACTAAAGCAAGCATAAAACTAAAGCAAGCATAAAGACCAAACAAACAAAGTTGCCTGCTAATTGTTGCCTCTCTATAGAAATCACAATACAATCAGATAATATAATCCACAAACAAACCAATATGATCACTTCATATATATATTAGTTAATAACATTTTTCTTTTTGAAAGAACGAAAAGAGTACGAGCATACATGTTCTCAAAGGTCATTAAAAACACAAGCAAGGGCTAAACCTAATGATAATAATGGGAATACAACAAATAATCATCATCGATATCATATTTTAGGGGGTAAAGTTTTTACTTAATTTAATCATGCACACACATCTAAGACCAATTACTTAGATGGACCAACCAAACTTTGAATGGCGAAGCTTTCTGATTTAACGAACATGCCTAGATGGAAACAATATGAACAGTATATAGTCAAACTCAACCACTTTCAAGGTCAATGACATTGGATAACTAGGTACCTTATAATTGTCAACCAAACGAGTAAGCATCACAATGACAGGGCAATGGCATTGGATAACCATCTCCCAGAAATCCTCATAGGTGTGAGGTAAGGAACCTTGTGTGGCTATAAACTGAGAGATGTTTTCCGAAGAAGAAATCTACATTAAAAAATATCAGGATCCAAATAGGTCAATTCGAGGGACATAGTTCCAAACTCCCTATTTTAACTCCTCCAACTAAAACACAAAGAACATAGAAATCTACCGTGATAAAGCTAGCATTGATATAACCCATTGAAGCTGGTCTGTAATCTTTACACGAATTAAGAACTATCCTATTAGCGTCAACTGAAACCATTAAAAGCAAGTATTCAGAAAAAATCAATTTAACCAAAACGAGAGAAAGAAAAACTCTTAATCATTTGCTACGACTAATCATTAAAACGACTAAGACAATCTACTTTGGGAAGAAAATAAACTTTTTTAAGTACATGGTACGACATCAGAGTATCTATTCTTGTCCATATTGACACCGTTCAGACCCACTGTGCATCTCCTCATCATCTCCGAAGATGTAACCCTATTTGCCTACAAATAGTAAGGCAAAAGTTAATAACCAAATTCGGAAAAACAAATTTAAAATGCAAAAAAAAAGGTAAATAGCACCTGCAAGAGAGAGAACTCGCGGATGATTTCGAGGGGCGTTTGGAGCTTTTCGGAGAAGAATTTGAGAGCCTCAGAACAGAAGTTGAACTAACTGATCCGGAGTGAGTGAGATTTTGGGGGGATAATCTGCTGAGAAGACAAAGGGGTTGGACTGAGTAGGGTTGGAATCCGAGTAGAGATTAGCGGCGGCGGCGGCCATGGCCTGTTTCCGCTTTGAAGACACGCAACTGGAAATGAGGTTACCCGTTGTAGTCTGAAGGGATGAAATGTGTATGGTGGGAATTTGAGAAAATGGATTGAGAGTTCGATGAGAATATGATTGACGTGAACCGCATGATCTAATGCATGTTTTATTATATAATTAACCCTTTAATCATGCCAACTTTATGCCGGCCCGCATCCAACCCTGAAGCTTTCATCCTAAATTATTACGTATTAATTTTATTAAAAATATTATTATTGAACTATTACATAGGAGTTTAAAATATTATTTTTAAAAAGTTTAATTATTTTACGGAAATCGTTTTTTAAAATTTATTTTTAGTGATACAAAGATACTATAATAATGATTATTTTATTATAAATTAAAATAAAATATATAGATGGTCTTCTAATTATATAATGATGTTTTGTTTAATCTCTGACTATTAAAAGTTATAAAATGATCTTTTGATTTTAGGATATTGCTTTGTTGAGTTCCTTGATTATTAAAAGTTACAAAATGGTCACACGATTATTCATATGTTTTAAACTCGTCCTTTTCCGTTAAAAAATTAATGGCAGCCAAAGCTATACTTTAACTTATTGACTGAGAAATACTAAAATCTGATCCAAAAATCTCAAACGAATATCATATCTCAGTCAGCATGTTAACATCCAACTCAGACTGTCGTCAAACTTTTAATGAAAAAGTACGAGTTTGGAACATATGAATAGTCAAGTGATTATTTTGTAATTTTTAATAGTTAAAGGACTTAAAAAAAACAACGTCCTATAATCAGTAGACCATTTACGTACTTTACCCTGTAAACTAATAATAATCGTTTTTTTATTTTTAATGATGAAAATAAAAAAAATACCCCAAAATTCAGTTGGCATTGATTTTTAAGTTTGTTGATAATACGATGATTTTTAGCTTCGAAAATTTTGAATAAGTTAAAATTTATAAAAATATTAAAATTAACAATAAATGTAAAATTTTTCTAAAAATATTAAAAATAAAAATAAATAATTTTTCTAAAAATATTAAAATTAAAAATAAATGTACAATTTTGAGATAATTATAAAAATTTCAAATTCGATAGAAAATTATAAAATATTTTAAAGTTAAATTGATCGTAATTATTATTAAATATTAAAGATAGATAAAGACACGAAACAATAAGTTTTCTAAAACAAAAACAAGTTGATAATTGAATCCAAGGCAGAGATAGATTAGACTCCTGATACAGAGAAAGGGCATACGTTCTTTTATTTTGGACGGTTAGCTATAACTGTAATAGAGCTGAAATTGAGAAAAACTATAAAGAAAAAAAAAGAAATAGTAATCGAGTCTTGCATTCTTAGGAGATTCATTAGTCAACAAAACTCTATTTTTAATTTTTTTTCCATTCAATTATTTTTATTTTGTAGGACGAGTCTATAATAAATGTTATAGACTGAAATACATCACACACATTAATATGCATTATTAATATGAAATATAATAAAATTGACAAATAATAATTATTAAATTTAAAAAATATATTATAAAATAGACTATAAATTTTGAATTTTGTTAAAAAAATATTTACTTATCATTAAATATTTTTATGAGATGACGTAGCATGCTAAATTAATGTAAATTCCTAAAATCTAAACCTTAAACTCTAAATATTGAACATTGCACACCTAGATCCTAAACCCTAAAATATAAGCCTTATTTCTTAACAACTTAAACCCTAAATTAAATTAATAAAATAAAATTTTTTAAATTAGAATTATGCGAATAATATATTTATTTATAATGTATTGAAATTTTTATTTTTGTAAAGAAAATTTAAGAAAAAATCTAAAAGACTTTTATTTAGCTAATCTAAAAGCGTTAATGTAATTCTTGACCCCTACTTCGAAAACTAAAACTAAATTGCTACTTGAGGGTTTTTTTTTTGTCGAGACAAGGACCTAGACTTAGAATCAGTTTACACATATAACCCAAAATGTTAACATAGTTAAAATTTTGTTGAGCTGATTATGTGTTTAACAGATTCCAAGTCTACGTATCTATATGGACCAAATAAAACATTTAAATACTAATGTGGTCCTAATTATCAAGATCAAGGGTTAATAATTGCATTAACCCTAAATAGAGAAATGAATAAATTGATATAGTTATTCAAACAGTGTGAAAATATAACTCCCCATGTATGAATTTTCTGCAGAGCAGGCTAAAATATAACTCCCTACTTGCCTCAATGCTTGCTATCCATGAAGGATGCCACGTGGGGGGAAAATCAGTCAATTGTAGGTGCTAAAGTAAGAGAAATCTGCATATAATGGAAAGTTTTTTCTTTTTATATTAATGATTCTTACATGTTAAAAGCCATTTGTAGAAACCAGAAATTTGAACACAATTAACTAGGCCTAAATGATTCTCCCTTGCTCGAGGAAGCTTGTCCCCTAAAACCAACAACCTTCAGTTTTTTCCCCATGGAATTCGTACCACTGGTCTTCTTCTTTCCTACTGCAGATGTTTTTGCAGCCTTCGAAGTTTTTGAGACCCTAACCATTTTCTTTGCAGGTTTGGCTGGACTGCGTGATTTTACCGACACTGCAGTTGTGGGTTTTCCCCCGGATGTGTGGACAGACACATCTTTAGTCTTGTTTTTCTGATTTGACACCTTAATTAGCTTAACATTCTTCCCCTTCTGCTCAGTAATCCGTACCCTTGCAGTATCCCTTCGGACGTTATCAACTGTAAGAGATTCCAAACTCTCGTTCTTTCTTATTGCTTCCTCGATCCTTTCAGCCAGCAACAAGTCCTTTTCAGCCACCAAACTTGTTACTTACCTGAAAAATGAAGATTGTGTGATTTCAATTTGCTGAAAGTAAGATCCTTTACCACTTCAAAGAATAAAAATTGTCACATATTAAGAACTAAACTTGATAAAAATGGCCTTGCCCCTATGTGAAGGAAAAGAAGATACGGCATTGAATGCAAAAGAAAAAGATATGGCATCAGATATAACTATCTATAAGGGTTCTGAAAATGAGTGCCCGACATTAGCAAAACCCTTACACAAAAGAGGATTCAATGAACAAATTGATCTCCAATGGAAACAGTTTATTGATGATAATACCATGGTTGTTTGGGAAATATGATGCATAACCAAAATTTTCTTTGGTAAATTTCCAATAGTACACTTTACCTATCGGTTGAAAGAAGAAATATTAGGATTGGTGAAGTTGATAAAGCATTGTTTAATTATGTAAATAGAAATAAAACAAGTTATGCATAGACTTTAAATGAAATGGTCACTGACCCTTGGCACCCATTCGTGCAGTTCTTCCAGTGCGATGAAGGTAGTCAAACTAAAAGGCCAAAGAAAAGTAAGAGCAGATAGAATCATAAAGAAAGGGGGCAGAAAAGCAAAGGAGTCAGATCCGAGAGAAGGGCAAGCTAAGACTCAAACAAGTTGATCAAAGATACAATGCTTACAGAGTTTAAGGGGATTTTTTTTTATAGGAATTGAAGGCCTCTTCAAAACCTCCTTCATGATTAAAAGAGCTTATAGAGAAGCTCCTTAATCAGCAGGAGGAGGAAAAAAGTATCTTAAGATTTCATTAACCATAGAAAATACAAGATACAACCAGGGAGCCACCCCCAATATAAACAAAACACCAAAAACAACCTCAAACAATCCTACCTGAACCAACATTATCCAACTAAGCAACAACAGCAGCCTAAAAAACAGACTGACCACACTAAAAGCCTAAACATGGCTCGAAAGACGCCCAAACAAAACAAAACAACAATAATAGAAGCCAAGGGTAACAACTGACTAAAACCATAGAAGCCAACTTCTAACTCAAAAGCCACCCAGCTTTCTCATGATAAGAATACAAAAGAGCACGCACATAGCCGCCTTTCTGCCACTTTAACTCGTCTTGTCAGCTGAGACCATCCGAACTTCCAGCTCCAAACAATAAGCATGATGCAGATCACCTGAAACTTCTACTACTTCCCCCGCCATAGTCTTCCAAAATCAGATACACTACTGAGCCATTAGACTCACAACCCAATTCTTTCCCAAACTGCAAGGAATCGATCGCATCCTTCTGTTGGGACTACCCCAATGCTGGAAAGTCAGAATCATATATGAATCTGCCTTCAATAACAGACACCTCTTCCTCCCGCTGCACCATACTCTGATGGCTCTTGCTTCGGTAACCCCTAGACTTTCTTTTGGGAGCTGTAAAATTCTCTTGAAAAATCTGGACGGATCTATATTTGTTGCCAAAACCCTCCTTAGGTCTCATGTACTGCCTTGCGTTACCCTTTGGATTTTTGTATGCGCAGGCCCTCGTGAAACCCATCCTCCACCACCTTTGACTCAACCCGACCATCCAACATGGGGAAATCTATATAATAATCCTTCGAGCCCTCAAAAGCACGTGCAAGCTCACTACTTTTCCTGTAGGCATCTTCTTTCTCCCTCTCCGCGTGAACCAACAGACCCACTTTATCCTTTAGACTCACATCTTCCAATTCCCTTGACACTAAACAACCATCCAGGATGGGAAAATTAATTAAATAATCCTTACTCCCCTCATAACCACGTACAGGCAAACAATTGTCCTTAAAGACATCCACTGCTTCTCTCCCCATGCACCAACAATGTCTCGTGTTCCCCCACTTCCTCAAGTTGCGAAAGAACCATCCCCTGACCCACAACGGCACTCCTTGGACCCATCATCATTTCCTCGCCTATGTTCCTGTCCTCCACGCCTTCACCCGACAAGAAGCTGCCTCTAGTACTATTCCCCATACAACATAAATTTTTTTCTTCTTTCTCAGAACACCTCTCGGCAAACTGCATCTCTGATGAGTGCACGATTCTTCCTGCTTCTTCAGCACCCACCTCCAACTCGGGATACTTAACTGGAGAGACACCAACGAGCTCCCCCACCTTGGATAACGGGGATGCGACTGCCTCTTCCAACGAAGACGACTCTACCCAGACAGATTCTGGGTTGAAGCAAGGCTCAAACTCAGAAACATGAACTTTAAAGAGCCTATCCCCGACTTTCAAAACAATTGATTTTTCCACACGAGCTTGA